ATGGTTGTTAGGTAGCACTCACCTGTATGCAAATCAGCAAAAATATGCTGCGAGTTATGGGTTATTCTCCTACCTTTAATCACCAAGTTGGACATAAACAATATAAAGTTATTAAATATGAACCTTTGAATATTAAATTTTGATGTTGTTATTATCCTATAGAAAATAATCGTAGTGAAACCCAACACAAAGGGGTCTGGAATATGAGCTGATAATAGTATTTCCCTCCCTGTGATTTTACATTAAACATTGTGTTTACATTAAAAAATTTATGTAGCACTAATATCCATTTTGATTGGGTAATAATACATTACCAGAAGTGTGAGACAAACAGGAGCAATGAAAGCCCAGATGGCTCGGGACCGAGTATCCAACCAGCACCTAAAATTATAATAATAATAATAATAATAAAAACTTTATTTAACACTTGTTCACCGCAATGGTGTTTTTCAACAAGGCCGTAAAGGCATTGTACGACCAACAAAACAGAAATTAAGACAAAAAAGGTAAAAATAGACTTATTAAAAAAAAAGAAAATCACATTAGGGCCTACTGAAAGAAACTTAACTACATTTACTAAACTGAATTATCGTAAATAAACATCATTAACTATAATACTTTCATTGATTTTTATTTTCATTTTAAAATTGGAAATTGTATTTGAGTTTTTGAGGTCATCACTAAAGTTCATTCTATAATTTAGCACCTCTGTATGATAAGCTACGTTTTTTATAATCTGTTCTTGGTTTGGGTAGTGTTAAATGATTTTCAGATCTGGTGTCATAGTGACATTCTTTAATATGGAATCTGCTTGTTAGGTAAGTTGATGCCAAATTATTGGTAATTTTAACCATAAAATTGACAATATCAAGAAAGTATGAATTTTGTCCTTGATTTTATAAAAGATAAAGAATGTGGATTCAAAGGAACATATTTGTCTACATAAAACTCTGTCAACACTATCAAATTTTTAGTGACAAATGTATGTGATGTGCCCATATATGGGCATCATGATGTCATATTACACCTAAATATGGGCATATATGGGCATGATGACATCACACCATGACCATATATAGGCATAGTATTACTATATATGGGCATATCACATTTTTTAGTCACAATATTTGATGGTGTTGACAGAGCATAAGCTCTATCCACACTATCAAATTTCTTTGACAAAAAAATGTGACATGCCCATATATAGAAATGCTATGCCTATATATGGTCATGGTGTGATGTCATCATGCCCATATATGGGCATATCACACTTTTTTGTCACACAAAATTTAATAGTGTAGACAGAGCTTTAGACGAAATGGCACAGCAGATGATGATGAATGTAAAGCAGGCACTCACTACATTATACAACATCTCTGTGAATGCTAGACTACGCGATGGCGTCTGCTCCTTGTGGATTGCAGTCTAAACGAATCGTATAAAAACAATCCATTTTTAGCACATGGCATTGCATTCTCCATAGAATCGCGTTGGCCGATGACTGACGCGAATATTGTTTACATTTCAATTTTGACAAACTGCTCTAACCAACTAATGGTGAATTTTTTGATTGACCGACTGATTGATTGTTCTTATGTGGTGGAGCTGAAAAGCGTTGAACATTTGAGAGGTTAAATTTGTTTGTGACTGACATAACAACATCTGAAATAAAAATGAATCATTTTGAAGTAATTAAAGTTTGACTATACTTGTCAGATGCGTAGTTCTCCCTTGTTATACCAGCAGTCATCACGACAACAATGGCGGGTCCAATCCAACCAATGTAACGACTGTAAAGAAGGCGTTGTTCATGATCAGCAAACGGACGTTTGATTTTCATGTAAAGATCCGTTGACATGATCAACATCCACGAGAAAGCTACCAAGAGGCTGTAGTGCAGGCATCCAGCAAGAAGACTGCATATAATCTTAGGAGCAGGTCTTTCCATATCCATCTGCTATTAAAATATTTTAGCAATCACTTAATTGGTTTTTTATGTGAATTTGGCGAAGAGGACATTATGATTATTATCATTTATCATATCAAATTTGTTAAGCGAAGAAATTAAGATTATTCCCACCATGTAGCTTACAATCCGAATTCTCTGACTTTTTTCTGAACGACATTGGCAAGTAGCCAATGTCTACTTCACATATGATGTAATGACGATGATGATGATTAGTATCATTTAATCGTTATTATTTTTATAATCAGCATCACAAACAGTCATCATCATCAACGTTATAATAGTTTTTATTACTTTAATTATTTTTTATTGTTTGTTAATTTTATTACATGGTAGTATTGGCGTATTATTATGACTGTTATTTTAATTATAATAATGATAGATTTGTATTATTATTTTTGTTTATGCAGATGGAAGGTTTTACTTAACACTCAGTATTATTATGGTCGATATTTTCTTCCGAATAATCTTGAGAGACATTAAATATGACATACCGTCTTCTTTCCATGAAACTCCAGGAGCAAAAATAATAAATTGACGCATAGTAGAGCGATGACCAAGTGGCACAGAATTCTGTAGCGATCAGAGCTCCTTAAACTTCTGAAATATGAAGTATTATTATTAAATGTTGGTAGACACTCATTGTATAATTTTAACCACATTATAACCTGAAGAACATTTCCATACAATATGGCTGAACTAATATCCCTCCCCTTCCCCCACCCCACATCCTACTACTTCCTCCAAAGAGATATTGTATTGCAACAAAAAAAATGCAGTAGGAGTATTACAGTTTTTACAGTAATTGAACGTGTTATAATAGTATTTTTTTTTTCTTTTTACTGCATCAGCTACCGTACTTTAAATTTGCCACTGAGCCTCTATACTATCATCTCTTGGGTATTCCTTATATGACACTTATCATGCCCATATGCCAGCATACTGTCACAGATTGTTAAAACTGAGTATTAATTAGTATAAGAATGTGCCAGTATTGTATACTTTAGTACAGAGAAGCTGTAATAATTTTACTTATAACTTTGGCAGTAGTAAATCGATTTCAGTAAAATGACCCATCCTTTTAGAGGCTATGTGGAGAATGATGAATACTGTTTTAAAAAGTAATTTTTCACGTTTTAGTTATTGATACTGGTTTTAGCATGGTAAGCCCCATATAACCTAGTCTTCACATTATGTGTCCAGTCCAAATTCATTTCCTTTTTTTTAAATTTTTTGTATTTAGGGGCCTCTATTCATTTACTGTATTGTTTCTTGTCTCAGGTCTGTTCGTGTGGCGTAGCCCTCTTGCCCTATTCCTGCTCTTACTGTTCACTGCTGTGATAAACATTTGATAAATGTAAAGGTAAAGGTCGAGACCATGAGCTTTAGGCTCACAGGCTGTCCCTCTTTTCTTGGCGTTTGGGCCAGAATGTTCGCCACTCCTCTCACGCTGCAGTCTATTTTACCTTCCCAGCATAGCCATTCCCCTTTTATACACCTGGGTGGAGAGAGACAAACGTCTTGCCTATGGACACAAGCAACTTAAACAGCGAACGTTACAAACCCCCGATTTCAAGATTGAGAGTTCGAGCCACAGCTGTTGCGCCAACCGCTTCTACTATATATGATATATATCATAAATACTTACCTGAAACTGCGGATGATAACGAGAGTGATGATGAGAAAGTAACTGGAAATTGCAAGTCCAACAGTCGTAATCATGGACAAATTCCTGTTCTCCTTAATCTATAAAAATATTGTATAAAGTTTGATGTATCGTGCTGAATGCAAAAATTAAATAGAAGGTAGCATTCAGTGGTTAGGTTCACACCAGAGTCAGATCGGGAGCCTGCTAACTGTTAGCTCTAACCAGTAGTATGCGTGTGAGAATGCCCGATTGATTAGTGGTAACCGTTACCAGGATGTGCAAGTTAAATGCGTTTCCACACATGGGCATTTCTAATTTCCACTTTTCCTATTGTCCCATGAT